ATTTATGTGTTAACATGATTTATGAGTTGGCAACCCTCGTTTCAGTTAATAGCCTGATATATGACTTTATGTATTACCTACTAATGTTATTCTGAGATTCAGGCTTATAGCTTCTGAAAGCCATTGATACTTGGTTACAGCAATACTGTATCTTCTAGAAACAAGTAGAAAAGTCAGTAGAAAATCGATTTTATTATGTTTAGTATTAAATAGTGTCTATAGTTTACGCGAGTAGTACACATTAAAATAAAACACTTTGACGGTTTAAAACGCGATATATTACTTAATCTTATTTGAAAATAATTTTTTAACTTTGGCCCGACGTTTCGGATGCTTTGCAGCAGCCGTGGTCACGGGGAGACTAAAGATGGAGGGTCACTGACGTCAAAGTAAAAATGGCTACGCTAGCGCCATCTGTTCCGTCGCTAATATATCGCGTTTTTAAACCGTTTTTGTTTAAATGCTCAGTATTGTGATCCTTGACATATTTCTAATTATTATATAATTTTTCTGAAACATGTTATTACACCTTATTTGGAAATCTGGATATTATGTAGGTGGTATGGAAATTCCCTAGATCTGGGGTATTTTACCTTAGATCGAGTGAACGTTATGTCTGCCCTCTATCATAAAAAAAGACTAACTACTGTATCTGAAGATACTAGTGATTATTTCCCCCTTTAATTTGACAGTCATGCAGCATGCATCATTAAGATAAAATCATTCGGACTAATTAAAGGTAAATCTTCTATCAACAAAAATAACAATCCCTCTTTAAATCTTAGAACGCCCTTTTAAATTGAAACTTGACAGCCCGCCATTTTCTGTGTTGCCGCAAGTGAAAACTCTCTGTGAATAGGGCGAAATTTACATCGAGCAGCTGCGCTCCCCCAAAGTATTTTACACATCATTAAAAGAGATGTGCCGCGGAGACCTCCTGGGGTCAAAAGCCGTGAAAAACGGGAAAATAATAAGCGTTACAATACCGGTTGTGGTCGAACGATGTTTTAGACACGTGGCAACATTTTAATAGCTAATCTACGTCTTTGTTTTGCGTCAACATTTAGTGATCTTTGGTTTGTAACTAATTTAATATAATTAAATTGGAAACGATATAAAAAATATTAGATTAATTGTCATATTTATATTAACATTATCTATACTATTATTATAAAGCTGAAGAGCTATCTTTTAAGATTAACTTCCAAGATGGGGAGGTTTGCAAAAACAAATTTTCATGCCCAAAATACCCAACTACACTAGGCTAGTTAGTTATTAATAAGATTTAAAAAAAAACGATATACGGGTCTCGAGATTGTGATCAACCGATTTTTTTTAAAATGGATGTTAAATGTATAAATATTCACTTCTCTTTATTAACACGGTTTTTCTTACGTCATAATGTTATGAAATTATTAAAATAAAACACTTTTAACAGCTTATAACGCGAATAATATTAGGAAACTTATTATTAATTTACTTTAACTTTGGCGCTACGTTTTGAATGCTTTGCAGCGCCGTGCTCATTCCATCTAAATCTAAAATAAATAGTATCTCTTCTTAACCTATAAAGGTTAGGTCTTATGTCGTAACTATTGTCTCCAAAGGGGACTTCAGCTTTGTAAATAACCATTAATCAATAGCTACCGTTAAGACCACCTCGCGTCTTCAGAGAAATCAGTCACCGAATCATTGGTACGAGCTTAAACATTATCGGCTGCATCTACCGCACCTTTTAGAATTATCGGCGTCGTAACCAGATCTCTACACGAATACACCATTAGGAGTCATAGACAACCCAGCATAAACAAGCTACTAGCCCTATCGAAAATCAGCCGCACAGATAATATCGGGGCCCACGCTAAAAAAGAAAGACCGCCATGTCACGAGGATTAACGCTCGAACCTCCATTGTTCACGATGACAATTCGAATGCATCTGTCCCGCTCTATCCCTCTCGCGACGCCGACGCGCGAAAGAGACGGACGTCTGTCTATTTATTTTCACTTTTCTATGGATAGGTAATGTGACAGTTTTCGTATGAAATGTTTGTTTGGATTTGAATGGGGACGGTTTTGAACTAGTTTCGAATGAATGTTGTATTATTTTATTTTTAATCCGTAAGCGAGCGCACGATCGGATAGTCTAATAACAATTTTTCGCCCCAACTGCGCTGACTGTAGCGTGGAATTAAAATTTTGACACTGGTCACACTGCGTCTTTGTCCGGGGCTCGAAATTTAATTATAATCTATAATAGCAATTGTTGAAAACGTAGAACAATAAAGGCCTAACAGTATTTCTATTTTTTATTTGATCATCAAATATTTGTATTTGGCAATTTTATTTACATATGGTAGATGAAATACCTTCTACCTTTTCTGGCTTTGGATCCACAGACTAACGACTTTATCATCTGTGGTCGACTGTTGTCATAAGTTTTAAGTTCTAACTCAACCAAAGTTCAGCGTGTTACAGTTTTTACTCTTATCTCTCACTAAACAAATTAATCAGTGAAAACCAACTAGTACAATTTATAATATATATATATATATATATATATATATATATATATATATATATATATTATATACATAGCTCACGATAACACCTACTATGATGACATAAAATTTAAATGTCATTGTTATGTTTTTGTGGGTGCAACAGCACGGAATAGTCGTGGGTTGTAGTCCCGTCTATGTAAAAGGACTTTTGACTGTTCTGCGTTACAATAAAGTATAAATACGAATTAATAATCCATGGTATATCAACCATCCATCTGTTAATCGCAATAAACGTCGCTGAACGACAGAATGTACTATGTAATCCGCGTTGAAAAAATGTAGTTCGTCATTTGTCACTACATTATGTTTAGTTGTAAGAGTTGATATAACGTCTTGTTAAAAGTGTTGTGATTAATTATCTGCGCTTAGTAACGTCTCCTGTCTTTTATCTGTGTTGCGTTTAGACGTTAAATTATCGGTGTGTGTTAACATTCTTTGTTTTCGAGAAACTTTTCAATCTTCAAAATTTAAATTGAAATATTTGACAGATGTACATCTGTCAAACTATTGTGTCAAATTACATCTGTCAAATTGGTTTTCCACGTTTCCCACTATTTCTTCGCATCTATTGGTTGCAGCATGATGTCTTATAGCCTAAAGCCTTGTTCGATAAATGCCCTAACCAACACAAACATAGTTTTTGGACAAGAAACAAACTCTTCACCTTTATGATATTAGTATACATACATTACATTCCCGTTGTAAGAAATGAATCAATATATGGTGTCGCTGGTCGTAGATATGTTTTTGTAATGCGATTATTAATATTGCTACTGTACGTGTTTTTTCTTGCCTTATAAAGATTTTCTTATTTCTACCATACAGGATTTAACAGAATATTTACATTAAGATATTTCCTGTTTTAATTTTTTTTATCGAAATTACCTAGCTACCAAAAGCCTTGAAGCCAATTCTTCTTATTAGAAACGCCAACATATCTTAATCCCTTGATAAATAGCCAAAATACTTACCTACTGAGTAATTAAAAATAATACGCTTATTAAACTTATATCTCGTTAAATATCATTTAAAAATAATTACATCTCAATAACCTTCGTAATATTACCCGTACGTAATTACAAAAATATATTTCAAGCAAATTTATAGAATAATTAATGGCGTTTCATTTATTTTTTTTATTTTATGACGCGGTTCGCTTAATTAATGAGACTCGTTAATATAATTAGACATTTTGACGTGTAAACTTATCGAGAAATTAATGTGCAATAAATTTTGTAATATTTACAAATTGAGAATATTATTTGGTTGTAGCGTTTCACAAGATTTCATTTTTTTTTTATTGTTAATCATGATCTCTTTTATATTTCCCATTGTAATAAAACGGGCCGAGGCGGTCTGCACCTTCACATATTTTCAAAATTTTCGTTTTCTTGCAATAAACACCACCTAGGACAGAAGGAAAAAATTTGATGCATGGTTCACCAACTAAAAACTATACAATAGATACACAAATACTGTCTGTACTTTACGCAAGTAGTACACATAAAGTGTTTTATTTAAATAGGTACTAACTTAAATATTGTACATCTACCTAATTCAATATATCAACATATAGATTTACATTTTTTATGGACAATCATTTTTTAAACAATATATTAACCAACGAAACAAAAGTTAAAAGATAGACACCAACACTCAATGAAACTTACATCTATCAAAGAAAATACTAATGATGTTAGCTATCATCTATAATTTCGTCAGTCGTTAAAATAAAGACATATTATATCATTACCATATCAAGTTTTGATCAATATTTTCACACGCGACCAAGCGAAGTGTACAATATATAAATTACTAATGTCAATTTACTTTGCAACATTCATAGTTCACAAAAAAAGTAACTAATGCCTTGTACCAGCAATGGGAATTTTTGACGCAAAGAATCTACACTAATACAGAAATAAGAGTTTGTTTTAAATGCGCTAATCACTGGGACTATTGGCGGGAATTGAAAAAAAAATTCTGTGTTAGTTACAGCAATTGTCGAGTAAGTAGTAAGGTTTAAGGCTATGAAACATTGCGCTGCTTGCCTATAGGAGCGAGACAACGGCAGGTAATGTAGAGAAACGGGGAAAAATATTCTTTTGTGGGTTTCCTTTGCGTACGCTGCGAAAGCGAGTAAAATTAAAATGCGCTCTGTCTAGACTAATCTTTAGGTATTCGAGGTAATATTTAGATTTTAGGGCACTCGATTTTTTTTATACAGGAATATCGGTATCCGTCCGGGTAATGAACCACCATCGATAGATGAAGTTGTGGATATCCGAACATCCAAAGCCGAAATAGGTCGACAGCAGTTTGTACAGATGTTGTGTGGCTGGGGTATTTCTCCTACCATGAACTGAGCCCCATGGTTGTCTGTCCTCCTCTATCATAAAAAATCTAGTTCTCAACGGTTTCAAATTCCTTGCCCACAGGTGTAAACCCGCGGAAGCAGCGTCGAGAAAGGACCACATTTACGAGAGCGCAGCTGGACGTGCTGGAGGCTCTATTCGGCAAGACGCGGTACCCTGACATCTTCATGAGGGAAGAAGTTGCACTGAAGATTAACCTCCCGGAGTCGAGAGTACAGGTAACCTTACTCCTAGCGCGTATCTATTTATGAGACCGCTAGAGGCAGAGTAGCCTAACTGCAATTTTATGACTTGAGTTATTTATATTTTCATAGTCTAAAAATGTTATGCAAAGTTTTCTCCCAAGTTATTGAAAATCATGTTTGTTGTTATTAGGCCACTCTGCCTTAAGCAGCCTCATATTTTATATTCACAAAAGAATATTACAAACGTATTCTCGTTAGTAACATATTATTTCGCCTTGACTGAATAATAATAATTTATAAACCCAGAAGTATAAAGAATTATAGATCTGTATATTATAGGGCTGGTAAAATCCCCCTTTCGTTCTATTCAAAATTGCTAAAAAATAACGTTAAATACCGTCTATAGTTTACGCGAGTAGTACACATTTAAATAAAACACTTTAACGGTTTAAAACGCGATATATTAGTTAAACTTATTTGAACCCTTTTGAGTCTCCCCGTGACCACGGCTGCTGCAAAGCATCCGAAACGTCGGGCCGAAGTTAAAAATCATTTTCAAATAAGTTTAACTAATATATCGCGTTTTAAACCGTTAAAGTGTTTTATTTAAAAATAACGTTATTTTTATATTATTTAAAGTGAAAATAAGTAAATAAAAATATGCAACACAGAAGCGGTATCCAAAATGTATAATCAACTAATAATTAAAAATTAACATAATCTATGCAAATATACAAACCTACAATATGACCGGTAAAATTAATCCGAGTATTGATATGTTTCAATTTGTATATAATGAGTATTTTGCTTAAAATAAATGAACATACTGTAGTAAAACAGTTACCTGAAAATACTAAAATAATTAATTATTCTTAATAACTTACTATTCATTCGAAATTCGTTGTATCAGCTTATTTTTTTTAAATATCAATAAAAATGAAGGTTTACATCTAAATAAAACACTTATAACGATTTAAATGCCAAAATGTATTAGTTATTTCGCCAAATACCAAGTCCAACGGAACAGATGACGCTAGCGTAGCAGTTTTTATTTTGACATTACACTCTCCACCTTCAGTCCCCCTGTGACCGCTACAAAGCATCCTAAACGCCGTGTCGTAGTTAAAAAAAATTGTAAAAAAGCTAACTAATACATTTTGCGTTTTAAACCGTTAAAAATGTTTTATTTAAAAGTGTACTACTCGCGTAAACAACAGACAGTGCTTAAAATGAAGTTCAATATTTATTCCCTCCTTTTACATAAAAAGCATTTAGAATAGGCGTAGTGGCCCGAATAATATATACCCACGTAAACTTAGTCTGGCATGCAAAGTAAATTTTACAAGACAAAAACAAAGTAACTACCCTCTTAACGCCTTTCGTCCCATTTACACCAACACGGATAGCGCATTAACTGCCAATCGAATTACGTTCCGAATTTGAAATTTGAAAATCGAATCCCCCATTGTTCGTCGGGACGTTAAATACCATAACGAGATCCTTCATTTGGCTGCCAGACATCAAAGAGTGCAAACGTCGAGCATAATGGATTGTTATCAGTTTATCTGATTGTGCATATCTGTTTCTTATTTGGGGCTTATATTGTTGGATCATTGGGGCTTATATTTTTGTTGAGCAAGTGACTAGGGGCTTAATGAAGTGAAACACTTATATTAAATCTATATTCTCATAATTATATAAAATAGATTAAAAATAATAAGAATGTTTTTAAATATATATTTTTATACAAGTCAGATGATGTAATGAAAAATTCGATAAAAACTAAAAATTGATACTTATATTCATTTTTAGTATAAGCCTGTATCGGTCCACTTCCTTAAGTGGGATTGTGTTCCCAATCCGACTTCTTAAATACTTTGGGTGCACTGTAGAGATGATAAAATCCATTAAGACACGAAAGGATAATAATTAGGCGGTAAGAACATCGGAATTCCGTCCGATTCACGAACCACCGTCCACTGATGAAAAGCGTCAAGTTTAATCGCATTTCAGTTTCAGTCTGTGGATTTCCAAAAATCCAAAGCCAAAATAAGTCAACAGCACATCTTGTTTAAGTGTTATATGGTGGGGTACGTAATAATCCAAAAACATCCCAGTGCTACAGTAGATAGTAGATATTGTGATCTCGATTCATGGTAGTGGAGGTAGGCTGAAATCACTAATTAAAAGTTTATCTAGCATCTCAACTAATTACATAGATAACATCTCTAGAAGGGTGGTCGTAATTGGACCATTTCGATGGTATCACAGATAGTAAAGAGCGTGCGTTTCGTGCCCTTGTTATGCCCTTTCGCGTATTTCCTTGTGGGCCCTTGACATGGTAAATCGAAAGCCCTTTTCGTTGTGTAACTTTGAAAGATAAATTATATTTAGATAAAACACTGCAACTAATATTAGTTGCATTTTAAACCGTTACAGTGTTTATTTTAATGCGCACTACTCGCGTAAACTACAGTCAGTACTTAGATAAATTATATACGTTTTACTCTCTCTCTCTCTGCCATCCATTATCAATCGCGAATTTTCCATACTGAAAAACGAAGATATTCCTTCTCACTTGATGTCTAGGTTTTTTGGACGATAACTGCTTCACATTTTCAAACATAACAGTTAATTTGAAGAATTGGACCATACCATACCATAGCCATTGGTCTAATGGTAGCAATGCATCTTTAATAAACAAAAGGTCGTAGGTTTGTTTCCCGCCGGATTCAAAATATTTCTAATTTTTCAATTATCATTTTTCTGAAACATATTGGACTTCGTGTAGAAGTCTGGTTATTAAATGGGTGGTAAGAATATCGAAATTCCGTCCGGGTCACGAACCACCGTCCACAGATGAAAAATCCGTGAATTTTCAGTCTCTGGATTTCCGAATATCCAAAGCCAAAAAATAGGTCGACAGCGCATCTTGTTCAGATACTATAATAGGCTGGGGTGTGTCACCGACCATCAAATGAACCCCACGCTTCTCTGTCCTCCTAAAAAAACCATCATTCCATACCACCAGAGCATCGAGCCCATTGCATTTCTATGTATTGTTATGGACGTACGGCATTAATTATTATTATTCCACATTGTGTACAATCAGTAGGCTCGTCATGGGCGTGCTTGCAATTTCAACGGTGGGATTACCACCCCTCGCGATGAATAAGTTAATTTTATGAAAAAGAGCAAAGAATCGACGCTTTGTCCCGCAGCTATGTATGTAACAGATGCGGGCTTTTGTGTTGTAATTAATTATACTGATCAAATGGCTGGTAATAATACTATGACACAGAATAAAAAGGTGACGCTTTCTCAAAGTTATTTGTAAACTAGCTGTGTCAGCGACTTCGTCTACGTAGAGTAGCAATTTGGGCATCAAAACTTGTTTTTGCCAACCTCATCATAATTATCTATTGTAGCAGTTACCCACGCCCGTCGGCGTCCCTTGAACCGTTTTTGCAGCGTACGCAACGAAAACCAAGAAGAATGAATAATTTTCCCCGTTTTTCCACATGTCCTGCTGTTTCCACGCTCCTATTAGTCGCAGCATGATGATTCATTTTCCAATTCGAGCCTGTAGTTCCTAAGATTATTGCTCTTAAACAAACTTACTCCTCAGCTTTATATATTAGTAGAGATTAACGATTAACAGTTGCTTGTTTGAAGTAAAGGCTACATTATAATTATTGTGGAAAGCAAGACAGAGCTAATGTTAGTTAATTTGATATCAATTATAACTTTATTATCACTAAGCCATGTTATTTGGTAAAATGATAAAATAAACTTTATTTCTATTTATATGAAAAAAAAATAAGACATTAAAGGACGATAGAAACTTCTGAATTACTTACTTAATTAATTATTGACGCGTAGTACCAAATTTAAAGTCTACATGAAGCCAAATACAAAAGTAGTGACTAATTAGAATAATTACTCAATCCGCAGTGCGTTCAATTACTCCCTCTGTTTGTGTTGCGGCTTATTCGTGAATTATATCGCCTTTTATTGTTGAGCCACACTTTTGCACATGTTAGTCGTACGTACAATCTTTATATATGTATAATTAGAATTAACAGCCTATTAAAAAGACAAGAACCATAATCAATATTTTTAACTTCTTCTTTTATGTACAACTATGCATATGATATTGATTCATTTATTCTATTTACCAGGTCTGGTTCAAGAATCGCCGCGCGAAATGTCGACAGCAGCTGCAACAGCAAACCAACACTCAGATATCCAGTAAATCCTCATCCAGTTCAAAAACGATATCATCTAGTAGTTCTATTAAGAATAGCTCATCTAAGATTTCCACATCCAAGACCTTAACCAGTTCGAGCTCAAGCTTATCTACGACGCAAAACTCATCTAGTATCACGACTTCTTCACCAAACCTTCCCATTACACCGACTACATCAGTCAGTCCTCCCATTAATGTTATTTGCAAAAAAGAATCAGTTCCATCTAATTATGACACGTCTCCTTTGAACAAGAATTTATCACTAAACCATCACTATAACTCCAGTGACTTGAGAATCAGCGGAAAAGATTCCTCTCCATCTGATACGTTATCTAACGTCCATTCCTATGGAGTCACTCCTAAGCAGGAGCTATACTCTAGTCCTAAGAGATTAGATTACTCTAGCAAAGTTGACTATTCGGATAAGAGTTTTGGCAGTAACCTAGTAAAAGACCAGTACAGCTCGCGTTTGACTGGTAACCTAACTCCGTTAGGCTCAAATTCCTCTATAATGACGACTCCATCCCCTCCTATCACTCCTCAAAGTCTGAACGGTCCAGGAAACGTCTACCACCCGGATAACTACAACAGTTTCCATTGGCCCGGGAGCTCGGATTATATAAGGAGTTATTCGAGCTCACATCACCACCAAGGTTATGGCCAGAGCGCATATAATTCCCCATATTATCCCAGTCAGGTGAGTTCATTTGAGGATCTAATAGTCTTGGAAATAAATATCATCTTCAGTTATTTTTAAATATAAACATCTCTATGTGTTAACAACATAGTTTATCTAAGTCTAATGGTTTAATTCATTGCCATAGAAAAAACTTGACAAGTTCTAGCGACGATTTGATTTCTTATTAAAATTATATTTTATTATCTACAGATGGAGTACTTTAACGGTGCATCAGTGAACCAGTCTCACGGAAGTCACCACGGCCACAATCTGACAGCCAACGGCAACCAGCTCTACAACCAAGTGTCTTTCGGCAATCCATCCCCCCCTGCCGCTTGGCCCTCGCATAACATCCTCTCCTCAGGCCCCGAATCGCCAGAGAACCAATCACAAAACTCCCCACATCTGAGCATGCTGCAAGCATCGCAGATTTCGAACTTTTCAAATTCTGGCAACAGTTACTTCGCGCCTGAAAAGTACGGTATAAATATGGTGTAGTATATCTAGTCTTTTCTCTAGGTTATTGTAAATATAGTGTTTTTGATTAATTTATCAGAACAATTGTCGTTTTTGATACTTATGTTATGCTTTAATTTGAAGTATCCACACTGCTGACGTATTTTTTTGCCGCTTTCAAATTAATTAAAATATTATGCAACGTCCCGTTAAACTTTGGTGTAAATGTTTCATTTGAGGTGAAAGTTTCGATAAAATGCTGGAACATGTATACATATCACACACTTTTCTGCGCTTTTACAAAACGAATGTTCTTTTGATAAATTAGTCGATAGCAAAAGGAGATTTTGTCTATACTTTGTAAATTAGAATTCGTACAAACACTGATATTGTTTCTGGTCATAATCTTTAATGGAGAAGTTTTAAATGACTTCCTAAACATCATTGAAAGTAACATCAGTTTTTGTCCGAGTTTCAATCTACAGATTGCTCTAAGACTTTTTTAAACGGCTTTATATTTTCAACGAATTGTTTAAAGGCCTAAATGGCATGACAGCCATGACATTAAAATATGTTTTGCAATTATGTACATTACCAAGTCATATCATTTAACTTAGGATAACTTTAGTGACCGATGCGCTCGCGTCAAACTATTACTGTACATAGAGATTAAGAATTTTTATTTTTAAATGAATTTGTAAATGTGCGATTGTATATGTGAGTTAGTTAAGTTATCCCAGAGGTATGTATAGAAATAAGATCGATTCAAATGTACAGGATCATCCTAATACACTACGGTATCACCGAGGAGTTTTTAATACTCTTCCGTGACAACTACAAAATTGTAGACAGGTTTTACACAGATTAAATGCATTTACTAATTCTGTACATATCTGTGGCTATTCCTAAATTGCCGGCGGAATGCTGTGATTTACAATACTTCATTTAAACTTAATGTACAGTAAATGTAAAATAATTTATAATAGTTTAATTTAGCTTTAATTCCAATTTGATACAAATATTCCGTTATTCAAGATATTGTTTTTTTAAATGAAAACCGTCTGAATTTATTTTATTTAAATGTTAAATGCAATTTGACTATAACGAACAATAATTTTATCGAGAGATTACTAGGCTAATGATAAATGTATTACTTTCGTATTTTGAATAGAATTGCTCTGTTGAAGAAATTGGCATTACATTGGTCTTATTTGATTCGGAGTTTGTAGAATGAAATGTAATAAATATGTAACTTAAAGTACATTTTATGCTTGGACATAGATAAGTTAGGGTTAAGTACAGTTTATTGTACTAAGTTCGAAGAGTCAGTGTATTTTTTTTAAGTTAAGTTGTATTAATTATTATTAATTGATAGCTATTGAAATATTGAATCCGAATATAATATGCATATAAAATACAGTGCTGTGTTTAATTTCAACCCATTTGTAATACTTAAGAGGTACTCATTAATATTTATTTAATATCAGTAGGTATTTCACTAAATATACAAGTGTCGCTACTTATCACATATTTATCGGTGGATTATACTCATTGTAATAAAGGTATTACCAAAAACATTACAAAAAGATCGATCAAATTTCAAGAAGTTTTGTAACTTCATACAAAGTTAATAGAGCAAAATTTGTCTAATTTTACCAAACCTAAGAATGTTTGTGATATTAGAAGATGGCAAAATCGCAACACGCATTTTATTACCAATTAAATAAAACACTCTAACGGTTTAAAACAAAAAAAACGTTTAAAAAATTTTAGTTAAACTTATTTGAAAATGATTTTTAACTTCGGTCTCCCCGTGACCACGACTGCTGCAAAGCATCCGAAACGTCGGGCCAAAGTTAAAAATCATTTTCAAATAAATTTTGAATAACATATCGCGTTTCAAACCGTTAAAGCATTTTATTATATGTGTACTACTCGCGTAAACTATAGACAGTATTTAAATCTTACCAAACAACAAATATTTTACAAACTCTTTTAATTTAACTTTAGCTATGACTAGACACCTATACGCATTTGTAGTAGATAATACCATTCAAAATATATAGTTATATAGTTTGGTATAGAAATTGTGTTTGCTACAAGTTAAATGTATTTGGATATCTTCTCGCATCATGATTCTTCCCAAAGAAGTATTATCAATAACTGTACTGCTTACTCCGGTTCTGCCTGGTATTATTAGCATATAATCTTTATCTTTGGCTCTAAATGATGAGAACCATGCTTGCTCCATTTGGTTATATAACATCAGACTGCCACTAACAGGAGCGGAAACGGAACGGAGGAGAAACGGAAGTTAATGTGGAAAACGGGGGAAAATAATTTATTTTCGAGGACTTCCGATGCGTGCGTTGCAAAAACGGTTCAAGAAATCAGGAAATATGTATGAAAGAAGAAAGATTCTTCTTTAACACAGCTAAATAAACGTCCGCGTCAATATTTCTTTATAATTCAAGAGTAACGCAGGAACGCCGACGATGTCGTAGGTAACAGCCATAGTTTATAAAGCTGAGAAGGTTGTTTGTAAAACTACGGCAAAACTAACTATTCCACGTGGACGGAACTCCAAGCACAGCTAGTACTTACAACATACCACCACCACCACAACCACTAGCTCAAAACGGCAGTACATATACGTACTAATATTATGAATACGAAAGTTTGTTTCCTTCTCATATCCCAAAGCTGAAACAATAATGTACAATTTTAAAGACCCGTGTTTTATTATTATATTATTCTGACGTAAGTAAATTAAAAATTTAAGGTGTGATGACCGCCTCTACAACCAAATGGTTGAACGTGTTGCCTTGCATCGCGTTAAGCGCGAGAGGTTCTTGGTTTTAATCCCAGAGAAACAAAATAGATTGTTACGACTAGACAAGGAATACTTAATTATTTAAAAATACTTGACCGTAAATAAAACCGATCAGTGAAACGAACATGGAAATATGTTCGCCTCATGCCTCACTTCACCACGTGAGCCTATCTGCCTAAATTTAGGAATTTTGGGTAAATAGTTTTTTTTTTATTATACAGTAGGACATGTTGTTGTCTGAATAAACGTATTTCTATTTCTATTCTTTAAGCATGGGTTTCATATTCCTACCATTCGTTCGGTTTTGATATTCCTACCATTCGTTTAATCTTCAGATTTCCAGACGGAGTCCACAATGAATAATAAAAATTAACACGGGCGGGACTCAAATCTACAACCACGCGCTTCGCAACACTGAGTGGCGCATCTAGCAATGTATAAGACAGAAAAATACATTTAATAGTGTGTCTATGATAGTGTCGTATGTCCGTCTATGCGGGGCTTCTGTCATTGAACCGGGGTCGAGTTGCACAGCCAGGGATCGTTAATCCGCGCGTGTGATACTTCCAATGTGTATATAGATATTTGTTTTTTATAAGTACGAAAGCAGGGATCAATTCGTTAGACAATGCTATAAGTCAAATGCAGACGAGCTCATTGGTGTAATGGTAGCAATTATGGCTGAAAATCAACGGGTCTTGGGTTTCCCACCGGGTCCGACATGTTTCCAATTAACTTATAATGTTTCTAAAACATGTTGGACTTCGTCTGGATATTAAATGGATGGTAGGAATATCGGAAATTTCGTCCAAGTCACGAAAGAAGGTCCACAGATGAAGAAACCGTGCAGTTTGTCTGTGGATTTCCTAATATCTAAAGCCAAAATTTCTATTGTCCTGTGCTAGTCTTGAAAACATCACGCGTGGGACAAGGGCCAAACAAATGTGTACGCCTATTTTGTTCATGCCCAACCCAAAAGATTTACCTATGTATAACCAGAATTCGAATCTAGGACCTTTTACTCTTAAAGCTATAAGACAAAACAGCATTGTACCTAGATATTTTATGATAAAACAAATGGGTGGTATGATTATTAAAATTTTATCTGAGTACTTACCAACCTTCGTCCTCAAATGGAAAAGTGTATTAAAAAATATCTTCGTCTTTTTTTTAAAGTGTTGTACATTTTCAAGGAAGATATTAGATTTGAATATTAATACAATTAAATAATATAATTTTGTATGTTAAATAATGGAAAATGTACAATTCTGAATTCTTGAATCTTAAAACAAAAAATACGATATAGAATTACTCAAATATGTGGAGTTCGCAGGAAGAAAGAAAGATATAGTATACCTACCGCAGACATCTGAAAAAAAATCGAATCTTGCCATGCAAAGAAATTTGAAATTTTTCTAACTTCTATGCAAAATATAAAATTTTGTCAGTAAATTTATGACTATCCGTGGTTATAAATATCACGACTGATTGTTCGTTCATTGTATTTACGCATAACATAATATTGCCACATAGATCAAAACACTGATAAAGTTTTAAAAGTAATTGCAATATTTTTACGCTCCATTTGATGTTCAGATTTTTTCGACATGGACTCCATGTATAGAAAATTTTGAAAATTATTTACAAACATGCTGACTTCGTCGGGATTTGAACCTAAAGCCATGTAGTAACCACGTGGTAGCAACACCATCGGATTAACGAGACTGCCAAATTATTCGCCTTAGCTTTTAATCTAAATATATAAATATCGTGTCAATGATGTAAGTACCAATCTGAGTAGTACATTTTACAAGTATTCACAACGACGCTCCCAGCATTTGAAATTGAACTTTCAAAACAAAATAAACAACAGTGTTGCAATATGCAAGCGACAAACCGCCATATTGAAAATAAAAAGAATGAAAAATCTTCGCTCGACTCGTTTAGACTTCTCTTAAAATTAGCTGTTTAGACGCTACGGTAAATTGTGCCTCCATAGCTATACCAAACTTTACCGTAGATATTTCTACAAAATGTATTTTTATTTTAATTGTCTTCTTTTTAATGCTCAACTCTGACCAAACTACCAAATGAAAATCAACTCTATCACTTATTATTACGACTTAGAATAGAACACTAGAAGTTCTTAGTTAAGTCGTTTCATTCCGGAATGGGAAAGCGCGGTGGTACGCAATAATACTCGCAGCTG